TTTAATTTTTATTTTTTTAAAGATTTTATTTATTCATTCATGAAAGACAGGCAGAGGGAGAAGCAGGCTCCCAAGGAGCAGGGAGCCCGATGTGGGACTCGATCCCAGGACCCCGGGGTCACGACCTGAGCCGAAGGCAGACGCTTAACCATCTGAGCCACCCAGGCGCCCCTCTTACTGAAGTTTTTAAGTGAGATCTTATAGGCTTGCTCTATTTTGGAACTTGGATTTAGCTAGTTACTTCATGTTTCCATAAATAAATAAATGAATAAAAAAGTTTTTTTGGAAAGTAATATGTTTAGATTTTTCAATATTGAAAAGTATAAACAATGAACCATAAAATTTCCATTCCACTTTTGTCCATCAGTCATTCAAATCTTTGGGTGACCACTATTATTTTTGGGCGTATTCTTCCAGATTTGTACTTTGCATATATACTTAGCTGTATTATTTTTTTCTCCCCTCCCTCAAAATATGGCATTGCATGTATTTCTGTACTGTGCCTTTTTTACTTATATATCTGTAAGGTTAGTCAATCTATATATGTATATCAAGAATATTCTCATTTTTTCCAGTGGCTGCTTTTATTTTAACCACTTACATCAAGACATATTGTTGGTTCATATCTTTACTATTACAAATAATCCTTCAGTGTGCATTTGTAATTTTGATTGATTTTGCCAGATTGCCCTTGTTGAGTTCTGTCATCTTATGCTGCTATTAACAGTGTATGAGAACTCCTGTTTCTCAATAGCCTCAAAACGTGGTGTCATTTTGATGTTGGTCAACCCAAGTTAAAAAATGGCATTTGGGTGTAGTTTTATTTTGTATCTTTCTTTTGAGTGAGGTTTAGCATCTTTTGATCTATTTAAACTGTTATACAATTTTTCTGTTAACTGGGATTTGCCCATTTGCCCTTTGTTGTCTTATTTTTAGTCATTTGTTGGAACTCTTTATTTATTAGGTAGGTCAGACCTTTAATGGGCTTAAACAAAAACTAATGTTGGATTAGAAGTTGCTTCATTTCTAATTGAAATCGAAACATTCCACTAACCACTGGGAGTTGAGGCCAGAGTTGTACATTGCATAGCCTGTCTATTTAAATTTCTTTCCCAGTCCTGCAGAACTTTGGGGGTCAACATTTTTGGAGGAGTTTATGGAGATGACATGATATTCTAAATAAATATATTTCAGATAGTCTCTGAGGGATGGTAGATTGCTCAAGAAATAGCATATTAATTTATCTTGCACATTTTTTTTTTCAGACAAGCCTGGAAGCAGTGTTTTTAAATCTCTCATATACATGAACATGCCTATTACATCAACCTTATTCATTGTAAAATATAGATGTTTCAGTTTCTTATTTATGAAAAAATGTATCTGATAACAATGAGTCAGTAGCTTGAAGTTTAATAACCCATAATGCTTGGATATTTTTTCGTTTTAACTGAAACTCTTAATTTTCCAAGGCCTGAGTTTTCATTCAACCTATGTTTGTGGGACTAGTGGGCCCAAGCTGATTTCATGGCCTGGTCAGATGTGATGGCATGTATAGGCTGGCAGATGGACTGCTAATCATTTCAATTCCCCTTCGTCAATGACACATGAATACATAGTATTCAAAGTCAAATAACCAAAGAGAAATAACCAAATAGCCATAAGTCAAATAAAAGTAATTGAGGCAGATCCTTGTGAAGTCATTAGAAGAAGATCCATTCTTAGAAAGACAGCTGCCACCACAAAACAAAAACAAAAGCAGGTATTTCAGTTCACTTTTATTTAATCAACATCAGCACTCTTTTGTAATCAGAAGTTTCTTCCTGCATTTGTGAATATATGTTAACATTTTAATACAAGAGCATATATGTATTTTGATTTAAAATTATTTGTCCTTTAAATGAAGTGTTATATAATAAAAATTCAATGGACTCTTTTTAACCAAGAATTAAAAGAAGTTAAAATGCCATATTGCAGTGCTTCTCAGACCATCTCTGGTGTAAAGGACCAACTTTAAAAAATTTTCAATCCATTGTTAACTATTTTACAAAATGCAAAAGAACCAAAACTAAACCCCCCAAAACAAGCTCCAAACAAAACTGAAATATGAAAGATAAAAATAATAGAATATTATGCAGCCATCAAAAATTTGAAATCTTGTTATTTGCAATGATGTGGATGGAACTAGAGGGTATTATGCTAAGTGAAATAGAGAAAGACAATTCTCATGTGATCTCACTCATATGTGGAATTTAAGAAACAAGGCAGAAGATCATAGGGGAAGAGAAGAAAAAAATGAAACAAGACGAAACCAGAGAGGGAGACAAACCATCAGAGACTCTTAATCTTAGGAAACAAACTGAGGGTTGCTGGAGGAGAGGGAGGGTCGGGGGATGGGGTTGAGAGGTGATGGATACGGGGGAGGGTATATGTTGTAATGAGCACTGGGTATTATATAAGACTGATGAATCACAGACCAGTACCCCTGGAACAAATAATACATTATATGTTAATTAATTGAATTTAAATAAAAAAAGAATAAGCAAGATAAAAATAAAAGCTCAATTTTATTACATTTAATAGGTAGAGTTGCTTCAAAAATATAATTAAAAAAAGGAAATAGAAAAAATTATAAGAAGTATACACATTGTTGAAAATGTGTATAGAAAGCAATTAATATATTAATAAAATAAGTCTCTTGCAGACTGGTAACAAGCCCTGGTCTGCAGACCACACTTTGAGTAACACCACTTTTTTGAATTAGGCAGCTAAGTCACTTTTTATGTGACTATTTATGTTTTATATTGGCAAAGAAAGACTTGCGTCCCTCCCTACTTCTCAGTTTAGAATAAGGTCTAGATTTTACCTACCATTGTGAATCTCGGTGTCTTACTGTGATAATCATTTTATGGTGTGTGTGTGTCAATCGTTTTGAATACCTTAAACTTACATAATGTTATATGTTCATTATATCACAATAAAGCTGGGGGAAAAAAGTAAGCTGCAATCTCAGCTTTACATCAAGTCTTGGTGATATTATCAGCATCACCTGTGATTCTAGAATGTCCCAGAGATTATTAGCATTTGGATTAAAGGGAGTAGAAAGCGATATTGAAGTTATATTGAGGTTTTCTTCAGCGTAAATACAATGAAAGATAGAATATCTTTGGACTCAGTATGAAGTCTTTTTACAATAGTTCTTTTGTTTATATGATTTTAAGCAAGTACTGTGTGGACAGAGATTTCAGTTCTAACCTTTTCATATTCTTTGTATTACTCGGTTAAATAACTTTAAAATTAGGTTTTTGGAAAGTTATCTTTGCACAAATTTGTATAAGTTATGTGTGTTAGTGCAAGAAATATATACCATCTTTGCCTGTTTTTCTTTAGGGCAATTCCTCTCCTGCAGTTACTTTTGGATGGAAGTATGCACTTTTCCCAATAGAAGATGGTAATCTCGGAGAATGACCATGGAGAAGGGGATGAGTTCTGGAGAAGGGCTGCCTTCCAGATCATCTCAGGTTTCGGCTGTTAAAATAACAGTCAAAGAGTTGGAAACAAAGCAGTCCCATAAGGAGAAGCGAGGGGGCTTTGTGTTGGTACATGCAGGTAAGCTCTCAGTGGGCGAGTTGGAAGATGAAAATAATTCTGATTTTTTTTTTCTTGCCTTGAAGTACACTGAGAATTGAATTTCACATCTGGGGGAGGCAAACTGCCAGAGAGGAGTTGGAACCAAAGAGATTGACTTCAATATAGGTCTCTCCTACTTCCTGCTTTAAAGATCTTATAATGACAGCTCTTCCTATGTCTTCTTCACTTCTCTACTCCCATTATTTACTTTTACCCCATATAATAGATGCAGTTAGGTAGTGTTAAAATCAGACAAAGTAATTTCTTAAACTCTGGTTTGTGTTTTTAAAAACGATGCTGCTGAAAAATTTTATTGACCCCATGTTTGACTATGGCTATTTAATTAATTAGTTAATTTATTTATTTTTAAAAGATTTTATTTATTTATTTTCAGAGAGAGACAGAGTTCCGAGTGGGGGGAAGAGGAGGGAGAGGGAGGGAGAGAATCTCAAGCATACTCCATGCTGAGCACGGAGCCCAATGTAGAGCTCCATCCCACGACCCTGAGGTCATGATCACAGCTAAAATCAAGAGTTGGGTGCTTAACTGACTGAGCCACCCAGGCGCCCCAACTATGGCCATTTTAGCATATAATTACACAGCCATAGAACTAATTTGCCTTCTTAATGTTACAAGTGAGGAAGAGAGATTAAGTAGCTTTAGCCCCATGGCTAGTTTGTGCTACAGCCAGGTTGAGACACCCGTAAGTGGGCCCATAGTCCCAGTGTAGTGCTTTTGACAATACAGAGGACCTGGAGAACAGACGCAGTGAAGTTCAACCCCTGGGTCCCTGATCATTGAAGAGTTTGTGTTTCAGAGTAGTGCAGCTCTGCTCAGGTCTGCCCAGCGGGCTTTTTTTTTCTTTTTTAAGTCATTTTTATTTGCTTGTATTTATCTAAAATTCATGACTTCTGTGAAGGGAGAAGGAATGGCTGGATCTCCTTTTAACTTTCCTCAGATAGGCAAGCAGGGTGGAATCAAGATTAACTTTCCTATGGGGTAAGGAGTAGGATTGTTTCTTCTTGTCAAACTGGTGTTGTGCCTGATCATTAACCTTTGGCTATATCTGGACTAGATAACTTGGGAAGTCTTACAGAATCTAATCCAGGAGAATCGGAAAACCCAGGTTCAATTTGCTTTTCTTTCAAAAGATTTTGCAAAGAAATGAGGTAAATTTTAGAAATAACCCAGTTAGATTTAGACTTGGAACCAGAACGCCTGCCTTCTACTACACCATGTTGGTGCATCTTTCATGGTACCCAGTGAGTTATTTCATTCAGAATGAGTGTGTGACAAATGTACAAGAAAGGTTCCAAATTTGTAACATGCAACAACATAGAGCTTTTGATTAGTTGGAAAGCATTGCTTTCTATGACTATCATGATGGGATCCCTCTTCTTTCAGACACTCACTAGATGGGAATGGCTCTTAGATGAAGTTGCTGCTGGGGGCCAGCAGTAATAGGACAAAATCTGGGTCATGGCAGGAAATTATGTGGGTTAAAGTGACCCTCTCCTAAGTTATTAGAAGGTCAGATAGACTGATTATGCAGAAATATATATCTTGTACATTTAAGGGACAAAATTTCAGTTCCTTATCCATTGTAGAGATTTTAAACTTTTTTTTTTTAACTAGAGGAGACTTGCCCAAATGTTAGTCATTTGAATCTTAGATTCTTGATTTTTCCTTGATCTGTATACTGCTTATACTATTTACCTAATATTAAAAAGCTGAACACTTTTTACTTAAAACTTGAAAGATGAAACTTACCTTAAATGAAATGTCAGTATCACTTGCATGAGGAGAAAATAACTTTAAACACAGTGCAACCAAAACGGTGTAATTAAATCTTAGCTGAATCCTGTTGTATGTCAGTGGCTTAGATTCTGAGGCTACCTTTCCTTTGTTAGATAAATTACGAAGTGTTAACCAGATATGAAAGATGTACTGTGGCCATGCTGAGACTTTTCCCTTATTCAAAACAGAAGGATTTATATGTTAAATCCTATTAACATACACTAAAGTTATATATTTTGCAGTAGTGTCCCATGATTTGGGAAATACTGCTGAAAGATTGGGGCCCCCAGATCTAAGATGACAGACGTGTTAGAGAACCATGAAGAGAGGCCTGTTAAATATTGGTTCAGGCTCTATGAAGTTTCAGAGTTCTCCTGAGAAATAGGATTAGAATTGGGGTGATTATGGATTCCTGTTGGTTTGGCATCTTTTCTGCTCTCCTGGGTCCCTGATTGATAGATTCATGAGCCATTTCTTTCTCTGGTCTGAGGAAAGTTGGGGTAAGTTTGTGTCAGAGTCTGTAGACCCACTTGAGGAGCCCTGAGGCTTAGAAATGCAGTTCTTAACCTTCCTTCTGTTAGACCCCTATGGGAACTTGGTGGCTGGATGAGGGGGTGATTCAGAGCTCAGTTAAAGAACTTTGTTTAGAAGCCTAATCAATAAGACACTTTAAGGACCCTTGTCTTGGTTTCTTTCTTATTTAGATTATTCTCAAATCCCTAACTAAGCAAGTATTAATCCTCTTAGGGAAACAAATTTCAGAGCGATTCTCTTGAGGAAGTTGCTGGGTGTTTAAGAGATGGGTACCACTGGGATTTCTAATAGGCAGACTACAATATGCTGTCACTGAGGTTTCAGAGACACCATGAGTTATATTACGACAGTGACAGGATGTAAAAAGTGTGCATGGGAGCGGTGGTATTTGGTGGTTGTGGAGAGGTGGAATGTAATACTCCTCAACCTCAAATGTTATTTAGAAACTACATAGTTTTCCGAAGTTACTCTTAAGAATTCAGGATTCTGAACAGTAATTTGCCAAATGGCAGGGGCTTTCTGAAGGTCAACAGAAAGGAACATGAAGGGACTCTGTCCTTGACACCTCCTGGGTTATCAACTCTAGACCAAAAAAACTCCTGACTTTGGAGAGAGGTTTTCAAAAGAAGATGGTCTTGATGGAGCTTGTTAGGGAATATGAGCTATTTCTAGTGCCTCTGGCAGGAAAATAGCCTTTGAAAAAGGAGGTAAGACATGGCATTAAAAAGGCTTATGGTAGAGAAGGAAGCTATTAGAATTTGAAAACTCCATACATACAGGACAATAGCTTTATTGTCACCAGGAGAGCATCAGTTTGTATGACCTATTTATATAATCTAAGTAAGATCTCTGATATTTTAATGATAACTAACAACTGGTTGTTTTTTTCCACTACAGGTGCAGGTTATCATTCCGAATCCAAAGCCAAGGAATATAAACATGTATGCAAACGAGCTTGTCAGAAGGTATGAACAGAGTGTGTCTGATGGAAACATTTGTTTTGGCCAGCAAGCAGCTTTACCTTGAAATTCAAAATTTTAAGGTTTGACTTCTAAGGTAGTCTTTAGTTTGGACCATGAAATTATTGTGCTCATATTTGTGGGGTCTCTGTTTTGTTTTGTTTTGTGTTTTTTATTCTCCAAATGATGCTTAGATTTTGCCCTTCCTTTCCCAGATTAAAGTCTGTATTTTTGGAATTGTGGGCACCTAATCATATATCTTTTAATCTTTGTAAAGGCATTGAGCTCCATTGAAGGAGTAGGGAAAACAGTTAAAAGGCAGCCAATGTGTCTTTCTACGAAGAGAAGAAAATAAATAATAAAAAATTAAAATGGCTGCTTTTCTTGGGGAGATTATCCTGTCCTTTTTCCTTCTGTTTTTCATTATGTAGTTTGTATCATAGCAAATTCATTGTCATTCCTGAGTTTAGCTTTGCCTTTGTTCTCAGTTGTGCTTTTTTTCTCTTTGGTTTTTGAGGTTTTGCTAAATTGTTGAAAACTCAATGTGGAGGCAGGAATGGACTCAGAAGAAATATTGTTTGTTTTTATTTTGATCTTGACTATATACTCTTTTTGGCAAAGCTTCCATTACTTTTTATGCAAATATAATGTTAATGGATATTATATACTGAGTAAATATGGGTCTCTTCCAGCTCTTTTCATTTAAATACCATTTAAAAGAAAGATTATACTTTATTAGAGATCCAAGCTTTTTCTTACGAATGAAATCACATAAATAAATAAGAATATTTTGTTATAGGGATTTTTTTGTTTTTGAAATTTATAATAAAGCTAAAAGTTCTCTAAACTATTTCATATTTTTTATCTTAATTTTCAAAGTTTGAGATGTTTTCATCGTCTGAAAAAAGATGTTTTCTATAACTATAGTCCTAGAATCCTAATACGTTTGGAATGTATAATCAGCCCCCTCAATTTACACAGTGAATGAACTTAAAAGTTTAATGAGGAATACCACTCTTAGCTTTTGAGCATTTTCTCTGTTGACTAAATTGGAGCTTTAATAGTTCATGGAGAAATCAGTTTTCCTTCTCTCTCTTTCCTTTATACTCCAGAAGTTAAGGTGATTTTATGGGCCTTTACTTTCTATAGTTTATATTACAAAAGAATATGATTTGTTTATCTCAATATATCATACAGTAGTCTGCCGTTACCCATGGGGGATATGTTCTAAGACCCCCAGTGGATGCCTGAAACTGCATATTGTACCGAACCCTATATGTACCATGTTTTTTCCTATATATACATACCTATGATAAAGTCTACCTTATAAATTAGGCACAGTAAAAGATTAACAACAGTAACTAATAATAAAATAAAACAGTTGTACTGTGTATGTATAAAAGTGGTGTGTTTGTGGTCCCTTTCTCTGTGAAAATATCTTATTGTACAGTACTCACCTCTTCTTCTTCTTGGGATGATGTGAAGTGATAAAATGCCTCCCTGGTGGGATGAAGTGAGTGAATGACACAGGCATTGGGGCATAGTGCTAGGCTACTGTTAACCTGATATTATGTCAGAAAGAGGATCATCTACTTCTGGACCGCAGTTAACTGGGTGTAATTGAAATTGTGGATAAGGGGGAACCACTGTAGTACCAAAGATGTTTTAGTCACATGTATGTGTTCATCTAAAGATTTTGAAATATTTCTGTGATTGAGAGTCACTGTTTTTTATAGTTAGGGGTGTGGAGAGTAGTAGCAGTGGGAGAAGATGTTACTAGCTTAGTCTGAGATTCAGTTATGTATATAAAATATGAATTATGAGGATATTTATTTATTTTTCTTTCTCTAAATATTTAAATTCCAGTTAACATACAGTGCCATATTAGTTTCACGTGTAGAATTCAGTGATTCATCACTTACATACAACACCTGGTGCTTATACAACAAGCACCCTCCTTTGAATTATCAGGATATTTAAACCAAACTGAATTCACGTAATGTCTATGGCTATTTTGAATTGCCCTGTGATGAATGAAGCCCTTTCACTTACTAAATTGCCTGCACTTTGCATTTAGTGGCTAGATTTTATTCATTGTCTTAATTTGAATGATAAGTGAACTATATCATAAATTATCCTGAATATAAACCCTTGCTTGTTTTAAATCTAAGTAGGTTATGTCTTGAAGTATGGAATGGAACTAGTGATTAATTTTTACTAACTCTAAATGTCTCCTACACTTCTTTAAGGCTTTGGAAAGTTTTTGGGTATGTTTGGGAAGTTGTGGTTTTACAATGCATAATGTCTCCCCTTGGTTTCATAGGCAATTGAAAAGCTACAGGCTGGTGCTCTTGCGACAGATGCAGTGACTGCAGCTCTGGTGGAACTCGAGGTATTTCTTTTCTGTTTTATTTAAAATATTTGTAAGTTTATGTTCATTATTCTTAAATGACATGAAAGTGTTGAGTTAGTTAATCATCAATTATATGACCAGTGTTTCCCAACTGTATTAACAAAGTTATGAAGAAACCTGTGATATATTGTTGGGTTGTTTTCACTGGGGACATCTCTGAATAACATAAAAGTTGATTGAATTCCTCTTCCCCACCCCTTTTTGTGAGATTCATGAATACAAAAGTTATTGGTGTTTGGATACCCAAATTTTCTTATGTTTAATAGGAAAATTCCTGAAGTTAACTCCCCTTCTCCAAAAGTAATGCATGTTCTCTTGTTTAGGAAACAAAAAATTATAGCTATCTAGAAGTGTCTAAAGAAGAAGGGGACGTTTCCTCATAAACCTATCAATTAGATTTGTATCCTGAAGCCATGCTGTGTGAAGTGTGTCTTGTCCAGTGTGATTATTAAGTTGGTCTCCAGTTGGGCGCCTGGGTGGCTCAGTCGGTTAAGCGACTGCCTTCGGCTCAGGTCGTGATCTCAGGGTCCTGGGATCGAGCCCCGCATCGGGCTCCTTGCTCCACGGGAAGACTGCTTCTCCCTCTCCCCCTCCCCCTGCTTGTGTTCCCTCTCTCGCTGTGTCTCTCTCTGTCAAATAAGTAAATAAAATCTTAAAAAAAAAAAAAATAAGTTGGTCTCCAGTTAACTGAAGACATTGAGGAATTCAGTGGGAAGGCTCTCAAGGTCGCTATACTTGTTTTACTCAATATTGAGGGACTGGAACTTTGAGGATGAATTTGTCCTGGAGATTACTGAGGCCTTCAGAAGACTGACTTTTGTTGTTCAAACTTAGAGAAGATAGATTTGTGTCAATCTGTTTAGAGGATTATAGTGAACAAATACTTTTCTGGTTGAGAAGACTGCTTGGGGAATCAAGATACGAAGATAAACCAGTGATGAGTTTGAGGTAGGAGGTGAATGGAGTGGGTCTTCCCAAGTTGACTGGATTGTGGCCCTTTGATTTAGGCTCTTGTATCAGGATACCTACCCAGTCATGCCAGGCCTTGCTTTTCCCTATGAAAATTGCTCAGGAGTTTACCAGAAGCCCTGGCCGTGTTTTCTGTATATTCCCCTGCTTAGTTGTGGAGCTATGCTTTAGATCATGCTTTGTAGATTTTAATCTCTCCTGTTAATGCCTTCAGATGGGTCCAAGTGTAGTCGAGGAAGGTGAACATCTATGATGGGTACAAGTTCTTTTATAGTTTGGTTCCTGAGACATCTGACTTGGGATATATGGTCCCCTCCTGTTTGTGACTGATAACATCTTACACCACCTTTACCAGTCCTTAGCCCTGGGCACCTCCCAGATACTCCTTGACTCAGTTTTTTCATTTATAATATGGGGGTAATTCCTATTTCATAGAGTTCTGAAGATTGGGTTTTAACATATGACAAGCACTTAGGTCATTGTGTTACACATAGTAAGCACCCCTGAGAAGTTAGTCATTATTACTATTATGAAGTGCTTTGGAAGTGATATATATGAGCTGAATATTTATGGTGACTATGAATGACATGTTTTTACAATGCCAGGAAAAGATTAACTATATAGTGTGGATGAAAGGAGAAAAGTGCTGCAAGAAAGAAGATTGATGTACTTACCAGCAGATCTTACCTTTACTCAAAACACAGAAGGAAAGCTTCATCTAACTTAATTAAATTGTTAATTGCAAATTACTCTCCTTTGTGCATAAGAGGATGTCCTGAGGTTATCGGTGGTGCATGGATGGAGTCAGTGTCGGTCCAGGGAAAGAAAAAGAAGGTTAATGAGTAGCTGGGAGATAATACTGTAATGGCAACTATGAATATAAAATTGAGTAAAATTAAGTTTTTCTTTTCTTTTCATTTTAGAATAACTTTAATTTTCTCAAGTCATACTTCTATCATGTTGAATATTTTATTACATTTTTCTCCAGCGATCAATCAACCATACTTTTAAAGAGTTTACTTATTTATGCTTAAAAATGATTAAAAATACATTCTGGAATAGTAAGTTACTCATGAATAAGTGAGCTTTATAGTTTTGAATGATGACCTCTGTTTTTTAAGAGTGTGGATATGAAGTTCTTTTTTAAACAAACTTGTTCTATTATTTTTGACTGGACTATGTTATATAGATAATGGGAGCATGAGATACACCTGAGTGAGTTCAGTGTACTTCTCCCTCTCACCCCCATTGTTAAATTTGGAGAAGAATTTCAATTAATTATCTTTAATAATTCACTTTTATGTGGAATTTTTGAAATATGTGAACAGTTTAATGGCTAAGGCTAGCTGGAAGAGTTTTCCTAAATCTTAAGAATTATGTTGGAAGTCATGCTTATACTGCCCCCTGCAGTTTTGGTTGCTTTGATTCACCACCTTTAAACAAGGTGAGGTTTTCAAGAGTTCAGTTGGTGTATTGTAATAGTTAAGGTCAATGGAATGATATAAGGAAATCAGATTCTAATATTTTATGTACTTAGAAAAATATAAGTAACAATATTGAGTCCTTTCAGCTTACTGAAAAGGCCCAGAGTTTTGATTTATAATGTGTTATGTTTAATTTGAGAGTACCTACTTTTCTTTAGTTTTGACCAATATATTCAATAAAGCTAAGTCTTGTCCTAATTGCTGAAATCAGACCTTTTTTTTTTTGATTCTGGGATGTACTTTTTTTGAGTAAAAAAAACCCCTTATTTTTTAAACTTAGGCAGAATTCCTTGAACACTTTATTAACTGTGGGCTGAAATGACTGAAATGGTTTAATGGTCCTTACTGGCTAGAGGGGTATCTAGCCTTGTATTTAAAAAAAAAGAATTTGCACTTACCCAAGTAGTCAAAAGTACACTGATTTCAACTCCATGCCATAGGGGAGGAAGAGACAAGGTAAAGAAAAAGAAATTTATATGTATAGACACATGCACACTTACACAGGCCACCTAGACACATCATTTTTGAGCTTTTCTTGGAAACCGATCACCTTGTGTAGTTTCATTATCCTCGTTTATCACTACAGACAGTGGTATCATCCTAAGACTACCACTTCTGGACACTAGAGGGGTGTTTCTGTCATTTAAAGAAGTGGGGAGGTGAGTGCCTAAGTTCCTGCCTGTTAAACTGACCAGCTTCTCTCTTGAGGGTTTTGGGAGGGAAGGTGGCCACTCCATTTGAGGCGTGCTCTGCAGTATGGAAATGAAAATGATATGACACCGGGGCGCCTGGGTGGCTCAGTTG